ACAGACAAAGGGGGTGGCCATGGGTACTCGCATGGGTCCAAGTTATGTCTACCTCTTTGTAGATTACGTGAAACAATCCCTGATCCGAACCTACACTGGCCCTAAACCCCACCTCTTCCTCCATTACATTGATGACTGTATCGGTGCCGCCTCGTGCTCCCACGAGGAGCTCGAATAGTTCATCCACTTCACCAACACCTTCCATCCCAACCTTAAGTTCACCTGGACCATCTTTAATACCTCTCTCTCCTTCCTGGACCTCTCTGTTTCCATCTCTGGCAACCACCTAGAAACCGATATCCATTTCAAGCCCACCGACTCCCACAGCTACCTAGAATACACCTCCTCCCACCCACCTTTCTGCAAAAATGCCATCCCCTATTCCCAATTCCTTCGCCTCTGCCGCATCTGCTCCCAGGACAAGGCATTCCACTCCCGTACATCTCAGATATCCTCATTTTTCAAGGACCGCAACTTCCCCCCCTCAGTGTTCGAGAACGCCCTTGACCATGTCTCCTGCATTTCCCACGACTCATCCCTCACACCCCCTCCCCGCAATAACAACCAAAACAGAATCCCCCTTGTCCTCACGTACCACCCCACCAACCTCCGGATCCAACGCATCATCCTCTGACACTTCTGCCATCTGCAATCCAACCCCACCACCAAGGACATTTTACCCTCCCCACCCTTATCTGCTTTCCGGAGGGACCACACTCTCCGTGAGTCCCTTGTCCGTTCCACACTCCCCTCCAGCCCCACCTCACCCGGCACTTTTCCCTGCAACCGCAGGAAGTGCTACACCTGCCCCTACACCACCACCCTCACCCCCATCCCAGGCCCCAAGAAGACTTTCCACATCAAGCAAATGTTCACCTGCACATCTGCTAATGTGGTATACTGCATCCGCTGTTCCCGTTGTGGCCTCCTCTACCTCGGGGAAACCAAGCAGAGGCTTGGGGACCGCTTTGCAGAACACCTACGCTCGGTTCGCACTAACAACTGCACCTCCCAGTCGCGAACCATTTCAACTACCCCTCCCATTCCACAGGCAACATGTCCATCCTGGGCCTCTTGCAGTGCCACAACAATGCCACCCGAAGGTTGCAGGAACAGCAACTCATATTCCGCTTCAGAACCCTGCAGCCCAATGGTATCAATGTGGACTTCACAAGCTTCAAAATCTCCCCTCCCCCTTTCGCATCCCAAAACCAGCCCAGTTCGTCCCCGCCTCCCTAACCTGTCTCTCCTCCCACCTCAAGCCCCACCCCCATCTCCTACCTACTAACCTCATCCCGCCCCCTTGACCTTCCGTCATCCCTGGACTGACCTATCTCCTCCCTACCTCCCCACCTCCCCACCTACACTCACCTTTACTGGCTCCATTCCCGCATCTTTGACCGGTCTGTCTCCTCTCCACCTATCTTCTCCTCTATCCATCTTCTATCCACCTCCCCCGTCTCCCTGTTTATTTCAGAACCCCCTTCCCCTCCCCCATTTCTGATGAAGGGTCTACGCCCAAAACGTCAGCCTTCCTGCTCCTCTGATGCTGCTTGGCCTGCTGTGTTCATTCAGTTCTACACCTTGAGACCTCATAAACAGTTTGTTTGTTCTTTTTTTTCAAACAAAAGCTGCTGCCCACAACCCAAAGGTTGAGCTCACAGTTCCAAACCAAAATCAATAAAAGAATAAAATAAGAATAATCAACAAACAGCGAGGCTTCTAACAACGTGTCCTCATTATCTCTTGATTTATTTTCTTTCCCACCGTATTGTTAGGGGTTCATAGTATTCTCTTTCTAGTATCTTCTTTCCTTTTTTATTTCTTACCTCTACCCATTTGGATTCTACATATCATTCAAGATCATTCCTTGCTATTGCACTTATTCCACCCTGTACTAACAATGTTACCCACCAGCCTTCCTTCCCGCCTGTCCTTTTTAAAATTCACATACCCCTGAATATTTAGTTCCCAGCTTTGATCTCCTTGTAACCATGTCTCTATAATGCAAGATCAAGCCCATTAGCCTATATTTGCGCTGTCAATTCATTTACTTTGTTCCATATACAACACACATTCAAGAAAAGAGGCATTAATTTACCACTTTTTCTCCCAATAATCCTTTCCCTGGCTGTTTTTCTGTTTGCATCCTTGATACCATCCTGACCCAGTCTGGATATCATTTTCCAAACAGCTGCTCCTCTGATGCTGCTTGGCCTGCTGTGTTCATCCAGCTCTACACCTTGTTATCTCAGCTGTCCTGTTATGCTGCCATATCCTCTTGGTTTGGAAGCCTACATTTCCCCCCTCTCAAACTTTACTCCACTCTAGTTATTTTAAAGCCCCAGTTGTTTGATCCACTAAGACCCTGGCCCCAGCATAGTTCAAGTAAATCCCATCACACCTGACAGTTCCCTTCTACCTCAGTACTGGTATCGCTGCCCCGTAAATAGAAACCTATTCCATCCACATCAATCTTTGAACCATGCAACTAATTGACTTTATTCACCCGTTGTCAATTTGCACACGGCTCAGGTAGTAATCCTGAGATTATTGCCATGTTCTGCTTTCAATTTAGCTCCTAATTTTAGCTGTTCAAGATCTTTCAGTCAAATCTCCTTACCCGTTCTCTCAACGTTGCTGGTACCAAAGTGGATGATGACCACTGGACTCCTCCCCTCCCTTTCCAAGTTCTTCCCCAGGCCCAAGGAGATGTCCTTAACCCTGGCACCAGGGAGGCGACAGAGCCTTTTGGATTCAAGGTCACTGCTGTAGGGAATTCCATTTCCCCAATTATACTGTCCCCTACCACAATTACATTCCTATTTCATCTCCCCCTCCCCCCACCCCCACAGATTTGTTCCCTTTACCATGTTGCTGTGGTCAGTTTGCTCATCCTCCCTGCAGTCCCCACTCTTGTCCTCACAGCTTGCAAGAACTTCATAAATGTTGGACAAATGCAGGGATTAAGGCTTCTCAATTATAACCCACAGGTCCTCACACCTGGCTCACCTGCACTCATGTCCTCCTGCCCCTGATCACAGACCAATTTTGAATTACCTAGTCTTAGGGGTGTGACTGCCCTCTGGAACAAAGTGTCCAGGTAGCTGTCCCCTTTCCTGATATGACACAATATCTGCAGCTCAGATTCCAGCTCCTCAACTCAAAGCTAGCTTCTCAAGTTGCAAATACTTACTACTGATGTGTTCGTTCTGAATCACTTTGGTGTCCAGCAGCTTCCACTTGTTACAGCAGCAACACAACACCTGACCTGCCCATCATCACCATGATATTTGATTTAAATTAATGACTCGAGATTCCATTCTCTTTACATTTCACTACAATATTTCATTTACTTAAATTAAAAAGAAAAAGGAACCACTGGTATCAATCTAATATTTAAGCAGCTATTTTTAAGAGGAGAGAGAAAGAAAACACTGGAGACCTAATCACAAACTGGAGCCCTGACTTTTACTTTAAAGACGAGAAATATTCACTAGTCCTACTCGCCATACAGCTTCTTTCCCTGTACTCGCATTAAGCTTTGTTTTGTGACATCAATCTGCCATGAAACTCAACGCAGATCAGCCTCTTGTTTCATGCCTCTTATCCTTTCCTACTCATCTCTTGCTCTGTAGTGTTTATTCTTTCAATGAACCTTAGGTAAAGCATCCCTTTCTCCTTTTCATTCTGAATTTCAACATTGAACCAAATTTCCTAACGGTGTAGTCAGTAACTCACATGGCTTTTGTCTTACTCGGGTGCAGACCTGTCTGCCAGTAAAAATAGTTTGTCCTTATCCTACATCATCAAAACGTCCTGATGACTAGTAAACCCTCCACTAAATCCTCACGCAATCTTCTCTGGTCAAAAAAGACAACTGAGCATCTCCCTGCGACTCCGTCAGCTTTCCTGCTCCTCTGATGCTGCTTGGCCTGCTGTGTTCATCAGCTCTACAACTTGTTATCTGAGTATCTCCACTTAGATTAATGTCCTTATTGCTGGCATCATTTTGGTAAATCTCCTCTGCACCTTCTACTAAACCTTTACATACTTCCCAAAGTGTGGTACACAGATTTAGATACAATATTCCAGCTGGGGCCAGACAGGACTTTACACAGGTTTAACATCACTTCCTTGTTCATGTAAACTTTCTTCTGCTGATAAAGACCCCAGACATGTTTTTAAGAAACCATCTCAACTATTTCTTCAATGGTTTCATTACTTATTACCCCAGCACACTCTGTTCTCAAAACACATTTAGAATTGTACTTCTTATTTAATATTTTCTCTCCTTATTCTTCCTACAAAAATGTTTCACTCCACACTCTACTGCCTAAATCCCATTGGCCAATGATCTATCTATTTCTCCGGTCTATGTCCCCCTACAGTCTGTTATTATTCATCACACAGGCTGGTTCCCAGTTGTCTGCACTAGTCTCAGATGATTTTGCTGTATTGGAGATTTGATATAGTTTGCAGGGAATTAATGAGAATGCTTCTGAGTGAGACAGTTAGTCCAACATGTCTTCTGGCTAAAGCTGAAAGCATAGATTTATGCCACTTTTAGGAAATGGTGAAGTTGTCAGTTCAAATCTCACTCCAGGATTTTGGTAAAGCATTGTAAGCTGTGATTATACCGCAATGTTCAGTGAGTGCAGCACAATCAGAGGTCTTTCAGATGAGGCTTTAAACTTATGGTCTTGGAGACGAGCGTAAATGATTCTACAGCACTGTTTCAAAGAAAAGATTGAATTATGTCTCGTGTTCTGGACAATATTTATCCCTCAATCAACATCACAAAAACAAAATCACCTGATCATGATCACATTGCTGTTTTTGGGACCTTGCTGTGGGAACATTGGCTACAGCATTTTCTACACTGCAACAGTGACTGCACTTCAAAACTACTTTACTGGCTGTACGGAGCTTTGGGATGTCCTGACATGGTGAAAGGAGCTATATAAATTCAAACTTTTGTTTCCTTTTTATGCTATTACCTGCTGAACATTAAAGTTGTTCTGTGCCTGAATCCCATCGATAGGGCCATCGACCCTCCGATTCGGCCTCCGAGACCTTGTGCCTCTGCTACATGGGGGGAAGATCAAACAAAGTATGCAAAGGAAAAGGAGACGGATAGATCGCATGGTTTGGAGACAAGGCAGGTCCAGCAAACAATTTGGCATTTTCACTGCATAGAGCAATATTAACTCATGACAAAGGTCAGCTCTGGTTTAACATTAAAGGAACTGCAGCCTTAGTGATAGGTTTGAATCCCAGCCAAGTTCTCTTAAATATCCCTCAGCCACATCCTCCCACAATCCCAGCTAGCCACCCTCTCTCCATATTCCTCAATTCCACTTTCTTTCTGAATTTTGTTTTATTCATTCAGGTTGTGGGCATTTCTGTCTAGGCTAGGCTAGCTTTTATTGCCTAATTACCCACAGGGCAGTTAAGAGTCAACCTCATTGCTGTGGGTCTGGAGTCACACGTAGGCCAGAACAGGTAAGAATGGCAGATTTATTTCCCTTAATGAATTAAATTGGGCTTTTACAACAATCAACAATCACCAGCTGCCATGGTAGGATTCAAACACTTGTTCCCAGAACATTAACCTGAGGCTCTGAATTACCAGTCTGAGTATAATGTGGGTAAGAGGGATTTTGACAAAAAGAATTTTAAAAAAGGCATGTTTTCTAAATGGCTAGAGGTTGCAGAGCTCTAAGATGCAGGAAAGGCAATGGAAAAGTGGTAATATCAGTGCTCTATAATCCAGAAATGTAGCTAATGTTCTGGGGCCCAGGTTCGAATCCTGCAAATGACAGATGGTGGAATAAAATTCAAGTAAAAAAATCTACTGATGACCATGAAACCATTGTAGAATGTCAAGAAATACCCATCTGGCTACCAATTCCCTTCAGGAAATGAAATCTGCCATAATCATCTCGAAAGGAATAATTTGATTAGGGATAGTCAACATGGTTTTGTGAAGGGTAGGTCGTGCCTCACAACCCTTATTGAGTTCTTTGAGAAGGTGACCAAACAAGTGGATGAGGGTAAAGCAGTTGATGTGGTGTATACGGATTTCAGTAAAGCGTTTGATAAGGTTCCCTACGGTAGGCTATTGCAGAAAATACGGAGGCATGGAATTGAGGGTGATTTAGCGGTTTGGATCAGAAATTGGCTAGCTGTAAGAAGACAGAGGGTGGTGTTTGATAGGAAATGTTCATCCTGGAGTTCAGTTACTAGTGGTATACCACAAGGATCTGTTTTGGGGCCACTGCTGTTTGTCATTTTTATAAATGACCTGGATGAGGGCGTAGAAGGATGGGTTAGTAAATTTGCGGATGACACTAAAGTCAGTGGAGTTGTGGATAGTGTGGCAGGATGTTGCAGGTTACAGAGGGATATAGATAAGCTGCAGAGCTGGGCTGAGAGGTGGCAAATGGAGTTTAATGCGGAAAAGTGTGAGGTGATTCACTTTGGAAGGAGTAAGAGGAATGCAGAGTACTGGGCTAATGGTAAGATTCTTGGTAGTGTGGATGAGCAGAGAGATCTCGGTGTCCATGTGCATAGATCCCTGAAAGTTGCCACCCAGGTTGATAGGGTTGTTAAGAAGGTGTGTTAGGTTTTATTGGTAGAGGGATTGAGCTTTGGAGCCATGAGGTCATGGTGCAGCTGTACAAAACTCTGGTGCGGCCGCACTTGGAGTATTGCATACAGTTCTGGTCGCCTCATTATAGGAAGGATGTGGAAGCATTGGAAAGGGTGCAGAGGAGATTTACCAGGATGTTGCCTGGTATGGAGGGAAGGTCTTATGAGGAAAGGCTGAAGGACTTGAGGCTGTTTTCGTTAGAGAGAAGAAGGTTAAGAGGTGACTTAATAGAGACATACAAGATGATCAGAGGATTAGATAGGGTGGACAGTGAGAGCCTTTTTCCTCAGATGGTGATAGCTAGCACTAGGGGACATAGCTTTAAATTGAGGGGTGATAGATATAGGACAGATGTCAGAGGTGGGTTCTTTACTCAGAGAGTAGTAAGGGCATGGAATGCCCTGCCTGCAACAGGAGTAGACTCGCCAACTTTAAGGGCATTTAAATGGTCATTGGATAAACATATGGATGATAATGGAATAGTTTCGGTTAGATGGGCTTCGGATTGGTTTCACAGGTTGGCGCAACATCAAGGGCCAAAGGGCCTATACTGCGCTGTAATGTTCCATATTCTATGTTCTATGTTCTATGCTCTATCCTCACCTGGTATGGCCCCATATGACTCCAGACCCACAAAAACGTGGTGGATTCATAACTGAAATGGCTGAACAAGTCACTCAGTTGTATCAATTGTTACGAAGTCTCAACAAAGAAATAAAACCAGATGAACAACTTGGCATTGACCTAGACACCAGAAAAGCCAACAGCAGAAACAGCCCTAATGAGCCTGCAACATCCTCCTTATTAACATCTGGGGGCTAGTGCTAAAATTGGGAGAACTGTCTCACAGACTAGTCAAACAACACCCTGACATAGTCATACTCACCGAATCATATCTGACAGACAATGTCCCAGACACCAACATCACGGTCCCACCAACAGGACTGACCCAGCAGAGGTGGTGGCACAGTGGTATACAGTCAGGAAGGAGTCGCCCTGGGAGTCCTCAACATTGACTCCAGACTTCATGGAGTCTCATGGTAAATGTGGACAAGGAAACTTCCTGCTGATTACCACATACTGTCCTCCCTCAGCTGATGAATTGGTACTCCTCAATGTTGAACAAAACTTGGAAGAAGCACTGAGGATGGCAAGGGACCAAAATGTTCTCTGGGTGGGGGATTTCAATGTCCACCACTAAGAGCGGCTTGGCAGCAATACTACTGAGCTTGAGTTTGATTTATTATTCTCACATGTACCAAGATGTGGTTCTGCACACTGTACAAGCAGATCATACCATACGAAATACATCAGGGTAGCAGAAAAGTGTGCAGAATATGGTGTTATAGTCACAGAGAAGTGCAGAGAGAGAGATCAACATTAACATTTGAGAGATCTGTGGAGAAGAAGCTGTTCTTGAATCTGTTTGTACATTCGTTATACATTCAAACTTTTATATCTTATGCCCGAAGGAAAAACATAGAAGAGAGTATAACTGGATGGGAGGGATCCTTCATTATGTTGGGTTGCTTTCCTATGGCAGCAGGAAGTATAGATGAAGTCAATGGATGGCTCGTTTCCATGATGGGTTGAGCTGTGTTCACAGATCTCTAGTTTCTTTTGGATTTGGGAAGAGCATTCCATGCTGTAATGTATCCAGATAGGATGCTTTCTTTCAAGCAACTATAAAAATTGGTAAACGTCTTTGTGGACATGCTGAATTTCCTCAGCATCCTGAGGAGGTAGAGGTGGTGTGCTTATTGACCATTGCATCAACATGGGTGGATCAGGTCAGATTGTTGGTGATCATCACTTCCAGGAACTTGACACTCTTAACAATCTCCACCTCAGCACCATGGATGCAGACAGGGGTGTGCCCTCCACCCCACTTCCTGAAGTCAATGACCAGCTCCCTCACTTTGCTGGCGTTGATGGAAAGATTGCTGTCTTTACACCATGCCACTGAGCATCTCTTTTGTGTATTTTGTTTTATCGTTGTTTGACATCCATCCTATAACAGTAGTGTCAACAACAAACTTGTAAATGAAGTTGAGGTGGAATTTGGCCACACAGTCATGAATGTATAAAGAGTACAGTAGTGGGCTGAATATGCAGCCTTGCTGGTCACTGGTGTTGAGGATTATCATGGAGGCAGTGTCAAGCTGGCCAGGTCTAAAAGGACATAGTTGGCAGACTGGGTCTGCAACAGGTGGTAAGGAAACCAACAAGAGGGAAAATCATATTTGACCACATCCTTACCAATCTGCCGGCTGCAGATGCACCTGTCCATGACAGTATCAGTAAGAGTGACCATTGCACAGTCCTTGTGGAGACAAAGTCCAGCCTTCACATTGAGAATACCCTCCATCTCATTGTGTTATATTATTACCATGCTAAACGGGACAAACTTCTAACAGACTTAACAACTCAAGACAGGGCATCTATCAGGTGCTGTGGGCCATCAGCAGCAGCAGAATTGTACTCCAGTTCAATCTGCAACCTCATGACCTGGCATATCCTCTAACCAACAATTACCATCAAGCCAGGGGATCAACCTGGCTCAACGGAGAGTGCAGAAGGGCATATCAACATCAGGCATACCTAAAAATCATTCTGGTGAAGCTTTCAAACAGGACAACTTGCATGTCAAACAGCATAAACAGCGAGTGATAGACAGAGCTAACCGACCCTATAACCAACGGATCAGATCTAAGCTCTGCAGTCCTGCCACATCCAGTTGTGAATGGTGATAGACATTTAAGCAACTTATTGCAGGAAGAGGATCCACAAATATTCCCATATTCAATGATGGAAGAGCCCAACGCAACAGTGCAAAAGAGAAGGCTGAAGCTTTTGCAGCAATCTTCAGCCAGAAGTGCTGAGTGTATGATCCATTTTGGCCTCCTCCAGTGGTCCCCAGCATTGCAGATACCAGTCTTCAGCCAATTTGTAGACATTGGAGACTGCAAAGGCTATGGGCCCTGACAACATTCCGGCAATAGTACTGAAGCCTTGTGCTCCAGAATTTATAGTACAGTTACAACACTGATATCTCCCTGACAAATTGGAAAATGACCATGTATGTCTTGTACACAAAAAGCAGGACAAATCTAAACCAGACAATTACTGCCTCATCAGTCTACTCTTGATCATCAGTAAAGTGATGGTAGGGGTCATCAATAGTGCTATAAAGCAGCATATGCTCAGTAATAACCTGTTGAATGATGCCCAGGGCCACTCAGCTCCTGACCTCATTACAGTCTTGTTCAAACATGAACAAAAGAGCTGTATTCCAGAGGTGAGGACAGAGTGACAGCCCCTGGCATCAAGGAGCCCTAGCAAAACTGGAATCAATGTGTATCGGTCGCAAATTCTCCAACGGTTAAAGTCGTACCTGACACATAGGAAAATGGTTATGGTTGTTAGAGGTCAAACATTTAAGCTCCAGGACATCTCTGCAGCAGTTCCTCAAGGTAGTGTCCTAAACGCAACCATCTTCAGCTAATTCATCATTGACCTTTCC